GGGTACCAATGAGCCGCACAGGAACGGACTGTGTGAAAGGGTTCAAACTTCCACCCAGATCCCAGTGACACGAGGGAAACCCGATAGACTGCAGGGACGCTGGCATGGACTTGAGTCTCCTCTGCCGGATTGTGGGGGAAAAAGAACCAGGAAAAACAGACCGGGGACAGAAAGCTACGTGTAGAGAGGAGAAACAGTTGAGCCCTATCCTGGATGAGCAGACCCAGAAAAGCCCTTTTGAGGATCTCTACTGAAGGGCACAGAAAGAGAGTCCAGGCCCACACCACTCCTGCACCCTATCCACCGCAGCACGGCTCTGCTGGCAGACTTTAAAAACAACGACAGCTCTGAAAAAAAAGACAGCCAGCTGAACACAGCTGGAAGACATTAGCAGCTGAGAGCAAAAGCTTTCTGGGAACCTGGAATGGCCTCTCTTTCCACGCAACTCCGCAGCCCAGCCAGAGAAATCCTCCCTACTTCCTTCTCTCTTTGCAGGAAGGGCTTCAACATACCAACATACGGAGAATACTCCCCCCCCCAATTTGCCTTGCTTTCATGGTCGGCGTTAGCTCTAGGATTTCTTTTGCGGGAGGAATAAATGGTGCCTCCCCCCGGCAACGGTCTCTGCCGCTCCCCTTTAGAAGAAAACGGCAAAGTCACTTCCTGCAAGTGTAGCTTAGAGGCTTGAATTTGATCCGAAACAAGCCTCTCGGAGTCAACCCGTGACTGCGCGGCTCGACTCCCCATCACATCCTGTCGGCACGTCCCACCGCCTGCCCACGCGCCCGCCGCGCGGCTCGCTTGCACACCTTACATCACCAGCCAGAGGGCAAGCGCACTCAGCAGCTAGGCCACACCGCCGCAGAGGCCACCCGTTCGGACAAGCTCCTAAAACCCACGCCTGGTCAGCAGTATTTCAGCGTCAGCTGTGCAAGCCATCTGGCTCCGCACTGGAGAAACACACAAATAACTTTCCAGCAGCCATATCACCCTGCAGCTCCCAGCTGGCAGCCCACTGGAGCTCAGCAGGTGTGAGCCTGGTCAGTACCTGGATGGGAGACTCCTGGGAAAGCTAAGGTTGCTGCTGGAAGAGGTATTAGTGGGGCCAGCAGGGGGCGCTCACCCTGCAGTCTGTGTGGGTCCTAATGCCCCAGTATAGTGACGGGGACACTATACTGTAAACAGGCGCCGTCCTTCAGATGAGATGTCAAACCGAGGTCCTGACTCTCTGTGGTCATTAAAAATCCCAGGGCGTTTCTTGAAAAGAGTAGGGGTGTAACCCCAGCGTCCTGGCCACATTTCCCATTGGCCTTTACCAATCATGGCCTCCTAATAATCCCCATCTCTGAACTGGCTTCATCACTCTGCTCTCCTCCCCACTGACAGCTGGTGTGTGGGGAGCATTCTGGCGCACTATGGCTGCCGTCGCATCATCCAGGTGGGGCTGCACACAGGTGGTGGTGGAGGGGATCCCCATGACCTGTAAAACCTTTTTGAGTGGAGTGTCCAGAAAAGCGCTATATAAGTGGAAGCAATTATTATTAGTTTCCTACATGTGGCTACAGATTCTACCACATTGACCGCAGAGGCTAGGAACGCAAGCGGTCCCTCCTGCGCCACAGGAATTCAGAGCATCCCAGTGAAATGGAGGAGCTGCCCATCTTGGGAACGGAAATCAAGGCGGGAACAGAAAAGCACGACTACGACAAACACACAAGAATTCCTGGGCAAGATGGAAGGAATGTCATAAAGCCCTAATTTTAGTAGGCCAAGTATAGCAATCTGATTAAAGGGCTTTATCATCTCTAAACCACCCTAATTAACCGCCTCCGCCCAGAACACGCCATCAGCACGCGCGGAACACAGTCAGCGCACAAGCACTAGTACCGCGGCTCCCTGCTTCACTGAGATTTAATGCTTCATCTGTAATTACTGAAGAAGAGGCTGCTGGCATCCGATGCACTAGCTTACTTCACATCCAGCCCAGTGTTGCTCCTGAGCCCTTTCCCAAATTGAGCCACTGCAGGTCCACGGTCTTCAGGGAAAGGCTGACGTAAACAGTCCTGCCTCCGGATCAATGGGCAGCCGCTCGTCGTCCGCACAGCATCCCAGCCCCGCCGGCCTGATCCGATCGCAAGGCAGACGGATCTGAGCGCCAACGGCTTTTCCTCTGGGCACCTCAGAGTAGCGCATCCCAGCTCTCGGACAACTCTCTCGGAGGAGGTAATGGAGCAGAACGAGGGAGCAGGAACACCGTCCCCGAGACCCAGGGAATCACGGCACATCCAGCCCCAAACCAGGAGGAGACAAGCGGTGTTGTCTGACCCAAACTGCTGGGTGTTACTTAAAGAACGCAGCTGCAGACGTCATTTCATGGCTACAGGGGAGTGATGGAGGTGAGAAACTCCACATGACACAGAATTCAGGTCATGTGCACCTTCAAAGCTTAGAACAGGGGTTCCCCCACCCTGATCCTGGAAATTCCTGGGGTACCCCTGGGAATTTTGATTTCTGTTCCAGCGAAGTACTCAATCACAGGAGGAGTGATTCTGAGTCATGTTTTTGATAATTGCTTGTAGCACTTCAAACAATGAGTTTATCAATGCTATTCCAATTTCTGGGCACCGGACCTCCCTCCATCCAGGTGTAAGCGAATGACCAGTCCCATTCCTACCCGTGTCTGTTCACAAACTGATCACTTGGTAAAGAGCTGTGTATTCAGAAAAAAACAGGCAGGCGCTCCTAGAAGCTGAAGAAAGTGTTAAAACACACACGGAGGCCAGGTACTGGTTACCTGTAGAAACAGGTCCACAAACATCTAATCATTCATGCAGATCAATTAAAAACACAGATTTACTGAGTGATTAGAACAAACCAGCCAGAATAAAAACCAGCAGATGCAGGAGTCACCTAGAAACAGGGCTGGGCACCCCCAGTTAGGGAAAAAACAGACAATACAGGAGCCCAACTGCCTTGAAAAGATGGACAACGTGTGGCCCCTCTCTGTCACCCAGTTCCTCCTGTCCTCAGAGTTCAACATTTTTAAACACCCTGGGACGATGGAGTTGAGCTGTACCTCTACTTGAAAACAAACAACCACACAGATTGCTAAGAAGTGTGCCGTTTCGGGTTAAACACTTGTTTAGGTTAGCAACTAGAGGCAAGGGGACAATTTTAAGGCCCCCCCAATAACCCTGCCAGCCTCCCAGAGCCCAGAGCAACGTCATGACAGCAGGAGGGACAAAACGTGACGTCACAAAGGCCAGCTCCGCTGCGCAGGTGTGGCGCAGAAGGGCGGTCGAGCAAAGACTGCGCCATCACCCACCTTCCGTTCACATCTGAGCTCCGCGCTATGGTCGTGTTAGGTGATAATTGTTTGAAGTGCCTTCAGCTCAGGCAACGCTTAGACCTCGGCTTGCGTTTAAGAAGCGCCACGCCTTGTTCCTGTACGGTTTTTCTATGACATAACCGCTAAAAGTTCTCAGCTTGTGGAGCACATCCTGCCGGGGCTCAAACACACTGACCCGAGAGCTGGGACAGCTCCCCTCCACAAAGGAAAGCCAGCAAGGCTGAGGAGAAACCAGCAGGCTAGTGGGAAGAGCCATAACCTCAAGGGGCTTCACCACAGGAAAGTTTACAAGAGTTATTGACAGATCATTTCCGTTGTGATACCATCAGTACGACGTACCTTCCTCGTCAGCTCTAGAAGCACTTAAACCTACAAGGAATCGGGCGTAACGCCGATATTAAAGGTGACTGCCCAGCCCACAAACTCCCCTGGTGCAGAGCACGTCTGCGCCCACTACACCCTGCCTGGACACGCGTGGATCCGCCTGAGCTTCCGAACAGCGCCGCGAGGCGCGCCACCCACATGAACGCGCCGCGAGCGAGGTGCGCCCAGCCCGGGGGTGCCTGGGAGGGCGCGCGGGGTAATTACACGTGAACACCAACAGGATCCGAGTCCTGCGCTCAGCCCGCTGGTAACACCGCACAGGGCGATGCGTCCGCCCCGCAGCGGCTCAGAGCAGGCAGCGTCACCGAATGCGCAGATTCGTGAAGTATTTACAGTTTATAATAAGAAGAAATACTCTTCCTCCGACCCCCGCCCCGTCCTCAGTTGTACCCTGTTACTTAGTCTTATTCACTGGAGTTTTGTTTCGCCACAAACAGGTTGTTACGCGTGTAGTGAAAGTGTCGTTTGCACCTATCGGTTATATTACAACACGATATAACGGCTGAACCCAGACGAAGCCACGCGTACACATCCGTTATTGACAGCGCTTGGCCGGGCTCGGGAGCCCGAGTGCGAGCGGACACCCGAACCCGAACCGCGCCAGGCTCGGACCGGCGCTCCCTCCCGAGTGCGGTACTGCGGTGCGTGCGGAGCTGCGCGATTCCTGTTGCTCTTAATACCCCGAAGCTGAACGCGCAGCCCCTGCCAGATCAGTCTGGCTCCGCTTCAGTGTCTGTAGAAGTCGTTTACGACTCCAGGACACCCCACTGTCGGCGCCACATATTAAGAAACCCATTAATACACGTATAATCACCGTGCTGTGGGGAGCCGAACGGACTGCAGTGAATACTGCAGCAGTCCTATTGCACCGACACCGTGCGGTATTCCTCCCCGTCTACACACTGCATAGAGAGAGAGAGAGCTCCGGCTGCACATCTATAAATAGCTACCGCCGTCCACCTGCGAAACACGTCCAATGAGGATGGCGTTTGAAGTCGTTAATTGTTAAAACACGCCATTCTTTAAGGGGACACGTCGACTGAGAAGAGAACTTTATACTGGTTCACCAAACTGCAGCCTCCGCGGACTGAACTATTTTGATTCCACAGCCCGTTAACTGCGCGACCAGTCAGACGACACAAGAATTGAAAGAGTCACCACAGGCACCCACCCACTCGTGACTTACCTGCGTGTCACCGAGGAAAACCGAGTGGCTGTGGCGGGCTTCAAAAAGTATTTTTACTCCACCGGTAAAGCTGCAGTCAGCCGCCCCTCTCCTTTAAGTAACAAACACCCAGATGTAATCCTTTTAGGTGTCCTCTCTCCTGCCGCTGCGTGCCGGTAACAACTTCTGCCGCCGCGGGTCAGCTCGGTCTTAATCCACTCTGCTCGCCAGGCGAAGTCCGCCTGCCTACAGCACGCTGCTGTTCTGCGGATTGGTCGCAGTCACGGACGTGATAGTGCCGCGAGCATCTAGAAAAACAAAATCTCCCACACCACGCCACACGCGCTCGGTCAGTTTCACGCTGGGTGCCGGAGTCTGCGCCTCCAGCTCCCTGCTTCAAACAGAATGACCTTACTATCAGGAAGTCGCGCAAGCCAATCAAAGGGCGGCTTTCGGTGATGTCATCGGAGTTCTTTTATGGCGTCACGAAAGCTATTGGAAAGGGAGGCGCCTTAACTGTGAAGATTTGGCACAAAGTATCGCAGGGGCTTCGGGCGCCTTTTTCCACTGTTTGAATGTGAACACACCTGTTATGGGACTCCTAGCCAATCCGGAGTTTCTATTCGTGATTACATTTTCTAAAAGCGAATCTGAATGCGCCTAAATCAAGCCTAAGCATCGGTTTAAGGACTGCCTGTTCAATTTGAAATCTGAAACGGCAGGGCGCCGAATCACTACGCGGACCTGAGATCGAACAAGGAAAGGGGCTGCACAAAATCTAAAATCGCGCACACACTTCGCGTTTGATCGTTCTTCTCAGCGTGGGAGAAACTCGCGCTTTTGGAAGCACCCGAGTCCCTCTGCCGCCCGCGGCTCCACAGAAGGCACCGCCGGAGTCTTAAAGGTGCCGGCCAGTCAGGGGCCGTCGGAAGGGTGTGGCTGTCTGTCGACACAAACGCTCCTTAAAGGCAAACAAAGTTCAGCAATTTTTGGCGACGTTTAGACAAAACCCGACCCGCACTCCACGAGATATTTAGAAGATTTGTTTTTGTTATCACTTCAAATAATATGTAGTTGAAAGCAGACTCTTAAGTTGATGTTAAAATACTCCATCGGGTTTGTGATCAGATCCCACAGTCCATCCGTTTTCTAAACACTTCATCCAATTTAGGGTCACATGAGAACCAGAGCACACAGGCGCAAGGTGGGGTACACCCTGGGAGGGACGCCAGTCCATCACAGGGCAGTCAGACACATCAGGACCAATTACTCCCCGAAGACAAAGAACCTACCAACATTTCTTTGGACTGGGGGAGGACACCCACACAAACACAAAGAGAACATACAAACTCCACACAGACAGCACCCCAGGAACTGAACCCAGGGCCCCAGCGCCGTGCGGCTCGTCCCCCAGTCTACTGGACAATTAAACCAGCCCGCCAGGTGGCCGGCCATGAGGTCTCCGGGCCTCAGGGCCCAGAGTCCAGCAGGTGTTCTGCGTCCTTAGTGTGTAGAAACGGTTCATCTCCTGTGAGGAGGGCTGGGCCAGTGTCTCCCCGTTCAGTCAGAGAGACACACAGCACCAGCTGGATTCTGCACTCCAGTGGTCTAGAGGGGGGACCCCTGTTCTAGGCCTCTGCTAATTCTCCTGGGACCATCCCAACAGAGAAACGTTCAGAGAAAAATTCAACACCAGCTTTCACCAGCCACATATAAAATGTCTAAGACATTCAGAATGTTTTTCTTTATATATTTTTCATACAAAAAATTAATACCCTTATTCATTTATTCTATTTTTGAATTGTATAATGTTAGCATGCCAGAGGGGTTGGACAGCCACTTGACCTTTGACCCCTAGAGGTTTTTTTTCTCCTTACTGAGGAGTTTTTGGTTCCTCTCCTCCGTTGTCTTCTGATCTTTTCTGTTCTGTATTCACAACACGTCTGGTCACTTGCTTTGTTAAGCACCTTCGGGCAACCTTGTTGTGAAAGGCGCTATATGGCGGTATATGGGCAGAGCAATTGCACCCCGGCTCAGGATCTGCGCCTGTGGCTGGAAGGTTGCCGGTTCAAATCCCGCAGCCGGCAGAGGAATCCTACTCCGTTGGGCCCCTGAGCAAGGCCCTTAACCCCAACTGCTCCAGGGGCACCATATAAATGGCTGACCCTGCGCTCTGACCCCCAGCTTCTCTCCCTGTCTGTGTGTCTCATGGAGAGCAAGTTGGGGTATGCAAAAAGACAAATTCCTGATGCAAGAAATTGTATATGGCCAATAAAGTGATCTGATCTTATATAAAAATAAACTTAAGTGAATTGAATACAAAAGATTCCATCCTCCCCCCCCACACACACCACTGGCTCCTGTCACTGGGTCACAGCACAGGGGTATTGAACAGGAAGCCCACTCTCACTGGCCAGCGCCGCCCCAGAGCCACAGGAAGGCTGCCCAGAAACGGCAGCTTCCTGAGAGCCAGATCCTGGCAGAGGCGCCCTCTACAGTCTTTCCAGCCACACCCAAACTGGGGGCTTCCTGCACAGACCCAGGTTAGTCCCAGGGACGAGCTCGTGCTGAAACCCACAGGACTCTATTTGCATATATAGACAAGAAATCAACTAATGTCTGTCTATATGTGTGTGCTGGTGGCAAGAAATAAAAATTGGCACCAAAACAAAAAGAGAAGTTTCTACTGCTTCGGCAGCAGGATGGAAATGCTTAATCAGATCATCAGTGTATCTGCGCAGATCACTTCTGCTTTCTGCTTTTCTGCTCCTCTCTGCTTTTTGGCTTCTAGGGTAGTGTGTCCGGTGTCCTCTGTCTCTGGCAGAAAGGTCTCAGCTGTGTCGTGGAGTCAGGTCAGTCGTGTTTAAAAAGTGTGGGTCAGGATCGTCATGCACAGCAGCTCTTTCCAGCTCTGAACCCAATCTTCAAAGTTTGTCTGCACTGAAACAAGCTCACATTTCCCACTGAAATTCTAGTATAAAGAGTGGCGGTGATATTATTCATCAAAATTGTAGTCTGTGTTTCAGTTAAAAGTGCATTTCTTTGTATTTATTTCTATGTATTTTAGAATCATGTGGTGTGCTGTAAAACACTTAGGATGTTAAACATGTGCTGTGAGCTGGAAAGTTTGGGAAGCACTGTGCTAGACTTTGTCCCACTGGCCCTTGACCTTTGAAGTATTTCTGCAGATCTCCTGTGTTTCTTCACTCTTCCCCATGCGTGCCTGCAGTGCTCTGAAAGATATTCGGCTCAGTATCATGTCTCTGTCTCGCTAGGGTACTGGGACCAAGCTCACATGACCAGGGACGTAGCCAATGCATTGAGATTTTATCTGGACTGTGCACAATGTTGCTAAACAGCTGGCTGGACTGTACTTCACTAGTTTTTTAACAATTCTTTTATTTTGATTAATTTAAAATGCAAACCCAGCAGGGGAGAAAACACAGAAACAATGACAGAACACAACAAGACACATCATCCAGCGATACACAATGTACATTACGGTCTTTCAGTCACAAACCGAAGGAAACTTGACTAGTGTTGGATTATCACAGATCTCCAGCACAATATCCAATTCATTATTCTCTCCTCTGCTAACCCTGCCCTTGGGTTTGCAAAAAAAAAAGCCATTTAATTTCTGTTTAATCTTTCAGCAAGACATCTCTCTGTGTTCCAACCATATTTTATGTCGTTTTTTGCATATTTCAACATCCAAACATCAGACCGAATCAAAGAAAGCAAAAAATCCTTCTCACCTTGATGCAGTTACTGCAGAAACATTCCCCATTCTTCCCAGGAGGCAGAATAATCTCCCCAGTCGGAATTAGTTGGATTTTCAGCTCCATCTTTCCCCTAGTGCCAGCTGGAAAGACTGGGCGTTCAGACGTATCCGACCCCAGAAAAGCTCTAATGCTGGAGAAGGAGAGAGGAGACTCCAGAAGCTGGTCTGGCTCTGCTGTGCACTGGGAGGAACTGAAGGGGAGTCTTTGTTTCTTGAGAGAGAGGAGGGAAAGAGCTGTGGTACCTGGATGGGGTGGAGGATGAAGTGCGCACTTCCACAACGAGGCGGGAGAGCACATCCAGGGTGTCAAGTCCTGTTCCAAACGGGCTGTAATTGATGTTCTCCTGCAGAGCCTTGAAGCTGTGGGGGTCACGTCAGGGCTTCCTTAAAGACTTTCTGAAAGCTGCTGTATCCTGCTCTGGGCTCCAAACATAAATAAAGAGGGCGAACGTTTCCCTTGGAAAACAAGAAGGAGGCTGTTTTGTTTTCTTTTCTTTCTCTTTTTAAACACCAACTGAGCACTGAGCAGCCGGGAGAGGGCGGCTGAGTGCCGCGGCGAATCCTGGGCCTGCCCCCTGCCTGTCGACTGGCTTGAAATCGGATAACTTTTACACCGGGGCGAAGACAAGGAGAAGACAAGGAAACCCTAACCAGGCTGCCCCCATGCTGGAGGCCTCTCAAACCCCAAAAAAACTGGACACTGGGTGGACAGGGCTTGGCATCGCTGAAGCTGGACACAGTAGGCCCTGTACCCTGGTCTTCCAACAAGTTGGCTTCTCTGAAATCCCTGTGGTGAATCATTGCTTCTCTTCTTGCGAGTCTCTCTTGGTACCCTGAAATTTGTGTCAAGCTTCTTGTCTCCTTGGGGGCTCCTCCACTGGGTCCACTAGGGTGGCCAAAGGTTGGGGCGTGGGCAATTTGTCACGAAGTGTTTTTTCAGGACCCTATGCAGACGGCAGAATCCGGAGGGGAGTGAGACAAACACGGGGAAAAAAGACTGGGATCAGAGCTGGAAGAAGAACAGGGGGGCATGTCAACGGTGCGCTGGTGCTCGGGGGGGTGGGCAAACCAAGGCAAACAAGTCCAAAGGGGGTCCGAAGGGAAATCCAGAGAATGCAAGAGTCTAGAGCCGGGTTATCCAAACCAAGGCAGCCATGACAGAAGTTAAAAGCCGGAGCTGGATCCGGCGAAGGGTCGGGGGATTAAAAACGGGGAACGTGGCCAGGCGCTCCCAGCCCCGGACCCAGACGGTCAGGACGCCGTTGTGAAGCCAATGCCATCGAGGCACTCCTGGACTCGCTGGTAGGTAGGCTTCCGGGCGTCCATCTTCCAAAGCTGAGCCCGGAATGGTGGGAGCGTCTGGCTTTTGTAGGGAAGGGCTGGAACAGGAAGCAGGTGCAAAAAATCAAGAGAAACAAGAAAGAGCCGGGGCATCCTTAAGAGGAGGGGCTTACAATTGTGACACAATTAGTAAGGAAAGGCTTAAAAGACGAGGAAGATGTGCACTCCCTGCAGTGATGTCAGTAATTTATATGAATGCATACAAGAGTGGGACATGTGCAGAGAAAAGGAAATCTGCACACAAATAATGCTGGGAATACTACTCCAGAAGTCAAACACAGTCTCTGGTGAGTTTCCTCTTCCTTGGTGGCTGTGTGCGACCTGAAGTGGTGGAAGTGGTCTTTCTCGAAAAGGTTTAATTCCTTTTTTCGGTTGGCTGTCCGTGCTATAGTGAAACATTAAAGCTCTCCTCCTTCCTCTCTGTGGGAGTGCTGTGGTCTAGAGAGATGCCAGGCCATCGTGTGTGAAGGATGAAGCGAGTGACTCGACTGCGGACCCTGACAGGGGCAGTAAAGGACGCCGGAGTGGTATCTGGTCCTGCACGAATCAGGCAGGCCGGGGGGTGTCCAGCATGGACTCACGATGGGGCAGAACTGGAGTCCCACACGGGAGCTGGCCAGGGCATCTTCAGCCCCTGTTTTCAGGCAGACAAGCTGGCTCTGCTCTCGACACCATGGGGATCGCTGTCCGAGAATCAAGCGTGACTCCTCAGCCCAGATGACACCGAGCTG